CTTTTTTAAAAAAAAAAAAGATAACCGGTAAGGGAATCTTAATCCTTGACATGGTGTTGTCAGCACCACGCTCTCCCAAGTGAGCTAACCGGCCGGCCATCCCTATATAGGGATCCGAACCCATGGCCTTAGTGTTATCAGCACCACACTCTCCCAAGTGAGCCATCGGCTGGCCCATTTCCTCTTTTTTTTTTGCAGCCAAATATTACTTACCTGTTAGTAACTTTAGAAGATAGGAACTTTAGAAGTAGTAAAGAAATACCTCTGGAAAACTCAAAAATGTATAATTGTTGTTTTGTCAGTTTGTTGATTTTTAAAATTCTTAGATTTGTGATTGTGATTTTATGTTGCATAATAGAGAACAGTCATATGTTCTGTTAGTAAACTTATTCTTAACTCATGTGGAAGAATTAAATGTTAACTTTTTTTTTGGCGTTCCACAGAAAGCACCTGATTTCCACTTACATGAACTGGAGGATCAAAACTTAAGAATCTCGGCCGGCCCAGTGGCGCACTGGATAGTGCGCCGCTTGGGAAGCGCGGCGGCGCTCCCGTCCGAGGGTTCGGATCCCACGTATAGACCGGTTCCCGCTCACTGGTTGAGCGAGACGCGGGAGCAACACCGAGGCTTGCGATCCCGTTGCCGGTCCCCGGTCCGGTACGGGGGCAACACTGAGGGTTGCGATCCGTTGCCGGACACGGAAAAAAGACAAAAAAAAACAAAAACAAAAAAACTTAAGAATCTCTCTAGAGATCATCTAACTATGAATCTGTAATAGAGAAGTAAAGTAATAAAGACTAACGTTTCTTACCTATCCCTATCCTTCTTCCTCCACTGACAACACTAATAGATACAAATATAAAGTACTATAACCATTATCAAATTTAGCAACAAAACATACCTTCTTCCAGCTCAGTACTGATTTTCAAGGGAACATGTTTGAGGATCTCTGTTCTAGACAATCACACTCTCTTCTCTGCCTATTCTGTATATTGCCGGCAGTGTTGCAGAACAGTGCTTCCAGAAAGTGGAACGTTCTTTCTGGATACTAGAAATATGAGTGGTTTTTGGGCCGGCCCGGTGGCGCACTACTACAGTGCGCCGCTTGGGAGCGCGGCGGCGCTCCTGCCGAGGGTTCGGATCCCACATACAGACCGGTTCCTGCTCACTGGCTGAGCGAGGTGCAGGCGCAACACCGAGGGTTGCGATCCCGTTGCCGGTCCCGGTCCGGTCCGGGCTTGACACTGAGGGTTGCGATCCGTTGCCAGACACGAAAAAAGACAAAAAGGAAAAAAAGAAAAAAAAAGAAATATGAGTGGTTTTTATTTTCTCCTTTGTGTTTTCTTGAATATTCAAAAGTGTCTACAGTGAACATTCACTCATTCAACAAATATCTAATGAGCACCTACTAAGTGACAGGCACTGCTCTAGGTGCTCAAGATACAGCAGTAAACAAGCCAGGCAAAAATCTCTGTTCTAATGTTAGAATCTTTGGGACTTTCCTCTGGGGTGGTCAGATTCTTTGAAGAAGACACTTCAAGCTTCCTCTTTGGAGAGTAAATCCCTGTTAGCCAAAGATCTAAGAACTGAATGGAGAAAGAGGACATCCAATTTCCATACATTCACTTACTCTCCTTGTTTTTACAGAGAGCTCCTATTTTTAACCCTCTCAGGCAATAAATACTTCAGCCTTCCTTTTTTGAAGGGGCAGGTAAAGAGGGGGGAGGTGATCTGAGGTTCTAATTGCTTTCTAAAAAACTTCCAAAATTCTTGTTTTAATTCCTGTTCAGGGTCGCCCCACACCACACACAGCTCTGCTGTCCTATATTTCCTTAGTAGGCAGTGGGGGGACCTACTGCCACCAATTCCTGAAACTTGGGGGATTCTGCAGTATAAATCAGGTTGGCTCTCAGCTTTTCCCACATTGGGTTTAGGATTCACCTTTCTCCAGGCTGGCAACTTAGTTAACACTTGTCTGTTTGCTTTCCAGCTTCCACTTTTTTTTTTTTTTTGCTATTGGTTCTTTTTATTATGGCTTTATGTTTTAAAATATCCTGTTACTGTCACTTTATTGGTATTCCAGGAAGGAACAAAATTAGATCTGTGCTTTCATCTTCATTAATTGTTTAACTCTAACCACTTTCAGGAAACACTTTCCTACACTAATTTAAATCCTCTCTTCTTACCATTCAAACCCTTATTCCTCCATTTGTCTATTGAATTAGATATTTGAATAAAATATGTATTCTTACTGGTAGGTTATTGTTATTTAAGAAGGGTTCACTATCACTCACATCCTTTAATATTTTACATAGCAAAAAATGATTGCTTTCATCAGCAGATCAGAAATAGGGGTGAGATATATTTAAAAACATTCAAAATGATGTATATAGAAGGTGAGTTACTGCAGCATTGTTAGCAATACCAGAACACTGCAAAAAAATCTAAAGGTCCATCACTACAGGACTTGTTAAATAAAACATGCCAATCCATATGCTAGTATATGTACAGTTAAAAAGAATGAGGCTGGGGCCGGCCCCCTGGCGCACTCAGGAGAGTGTGGCGCTGGGAACGCAGCGACGCTCCCGCCGCGGGTTCGGATCCTATATAGGACTGGCCGGTGCGCTCACTGGCTGAGCACGGTGCAGGCAACACCACACCAAGGGTTGTGATCCCCTTACCGGTCACGAAAAAGAAAAATAAATAAATAAATAAAAAATATAAAATATAAAAAAGAATGAGGCTGATCTTTCTGGTGTAGAAGTCTGCAAGGGCATAATAGAGTATGCATAGTATGCTATCATTTGTGTTTAAAATATGAACACATATATATGTGTATATATCTATATATTTATATCTACCTGTTTATCTGTCTATAGATCTACAACAGTGGTTGCCTCCTGGGAGGGGAACTAGGTGACTGGAAGACAGGGATGGAAAAACTAAGTAAGGTTTAGTTTTTCCTTGTATGTCCTTTGCACCACTTGAATTTTATACCACACTCTTGTATTACTTATTTTCAAAATAAATATAATTTAAAGTGCTAATGAATAGCTTTTTAAAGGGTGGGCTCCATGACTTTTACCTGAAATCATGCCCTCTCTGATTACTTCCACCTATCTAAATCTTGCCCCTTTTTCAAGATAAATTCCTGTTCTTGACTTCAGCCCGAATGCTCGCTCATCTGATCTCCTTTGTTAGAAATTACTGTGCGTGGCAAATCATCACATACTGTTTTGTTACACCTCTTCTGTATTAAAAAATAAAATCAACCAACTTGTATTAAAATTTCCATTTTGTATTTTCATCTCTGTTTTACTGAGACTTTTGGGGGTTGCACAGGGAATACAAACTTGCAAAGATGAGAAATGGCCGGTGGAGAACAGTGACCAAGTAAAAGGCTGGGAGTACCGTACAGGCAGCCTTCACATACATTTACTGAGTAGAGGTTCATTTGAATTAGTGACTCCTTTTTATTAAATGCCAAAAGCCCCTGGAAAGGTAAAGCCTTCACGTTTTACACTGAATTAACGTGAACATCATGACATCACTTAGTTTAAGAGCACCTTCACTCAAGATGAGATGAGAGGTTGTAAGACAGAAGTAAAATTTTTCAAGCAGGACTCACAAAATTTTATAGCCAAAAGGGCTTAAAGACAACTATCCAAACCCTTACTTCATAGATGATGAAACAGGATCTTGCCCAGGCATAATTTAAGACATTGGGGGGAGTCCAGATCCAGATTCAAATCTATAAGTTCATTTGAGGAGCGACACCATTCAGCCTCTCAAATAAATAAGAGGTCTGGCCTGGGTGAAAGATGGGGTCTTTCCACAGAAAGAAAGACATAGGTGGGCTCTGTGCCTGTTGAAGAGAGGAGGGAAAGCAGGAAGTGCAAAATAGGTGGCATCGTTTTGTCCCCTTCGGTAATTGTGTCCAGCAGTCCGTGACTCTGTGTCAATGGAAGTCTTGCATATTAGCAGAAGCCGATCATCAGAAATTGTTTGGAAGGCTACAAACCTCAACTTCCCCTTACCCAGCCTCGTCTCCCTACTTCAAGAAACCAACCGAACTTCACTTTACAGCTCTTATCGACCCTGTCACATCCCCCTTGCCACATCTGCAGAAGGAAAGTCGGAGGAGGACGCAATGCAAGCACGAGAGATTCTCCTATTTCCAGGGTGTTTTCAGCCAATTCCCCAGTATCTACTGTATTTGGAAAGTGAGAGAGCCATTTAGGGTAACCATGGAGACATTACTGGCCTTGGTCACGTTTCCTTCCTTTTCTTTGCTATTAAAATCTGTCGCTCTGATTTCAGTAAGGCACCCCACGTCTGCTGGCGTCCGAATTCTGCAGCTCCTTCCTCTCCTCATGGACACTCATGTAGGGGAGTAGGAACACATTTTTATTTTATTTTTATTTTTTATTTTATTTATTTATTTTTTTAAAAGATGACCGGTAAGGGGATCTTAACCCTTGACTTGGTGTTGTCAGCACCACGCTCTCCCAATGAGCTAACCGGCCATCCCTATATGGGATCCGAACCCACGGCCTTGGTGTTGTCAGCACCACACTCTCCCGAGTGAGCCACGGGCCCGCCCAGGAAAACATTTTTAAATGAGGAGAGCGTGTAAGCATAAGAACGGATGATGTTTTTACCAGAGGGGAACCAGACCCATCCACCGCTCCCGGTGTTCAGCCTTCGGCTTCTGGCGCTGGGCCGGAGCCCAGCCTACAAGTCCCAGGAGACCCCGCAGTGCCGGCGTGCTCCAGTGATCCTTCCCTCACTCTTCTGGATAGGGAGAGAAAGGTTCCGCTCGCGGCGCACTGCGGCTTGGTTTGTTTGCAACGGCAGTGACGGAGGCTAGGAGCCCGGCCGACAGCAGGCAGGGGCGTCAGGAGGCGGATTCCTCCTCTCTTAAGCACTGGGGGGCGGGGAGGAGGGAGGCTGGGCCAGCGGCCGGGACCGAGCCGCGAAGACAGCGCGGACTGAGGAGATGGAGGGCCACGGGGTGCCGTGGGGAAGCGGGCCCGTCTCGGGTCCGGGCCCGGGAGGCGGCGGAATGATCCGCGAGCTGTGCCGGGGCTTCGGTCGCTACCGCCGCTACCTGGGGCGGCTGAAGCAGAACCTGCACGAAACCCAGAAGTTCTTCCGCGACATCAAGTGCTCCCACAACCACAGTTGTCCCTCCTCCCCCACGGGCGGCGGCGGCGCCGAGCCCGGTTTGCAGGCGGGTAAGGAGGACAGCCCCGAGGAGAGAGGGCAGGAGAGGCAAACCGGAGGGTGGACCGCATCCCTGCCGCTTCAAAACAACCCGGGCAGAGGCGGAGAGTGGGAGGCGGGCCGCGTGGCGGGGCCCCCCGGGCCTGGGCCCGCCGGCTTCGGGATGCGGTAGGAGGGCATCCCGCTGGGTACGGGGAGGAGAGGGCCGCCGAGGGCTCGGCCGGGGGTCTGGGGACGAAGGGCGCCTGAGGGCAGGAGTTCCAGGAGCAGGCCCTGGGGACCCGGCTGTGCGCGGGCGGGACTGGGGAAGGCCAGTGTTTGGGGAGGGCGGGAGTTGGTTAATCCGAGGAGTGGGGCAAATTGCTCCGAGTTGGGGTGGTGGGCAGTTGTGAGTCACAGCCCCAGTCGGGATGGAGGAATGGACGGATGGAGGCGAGGCAGTAGGCGGGGGTGTCCCAGGAGCCGGGGTGTGTGTGTGTGTGTGTGTGTGTGTGTGTGTGTGTGTGTGTGTGTGTGTGTGTGTGTGTGTGTGTGTGTGTGTGTGTGTGTGTGTTTATATATATGAACTGCTTTTAACCAATCATGAGAGCTCTGTGAAGAAGTAAGGAATGTACTCTAAATAGGGCTGGGGGTCGCCAAAGGAAATTCTGATTGGTGCCAGGGAATTGCCAGAGGTGTTGCTTGTGCTTTTGGTGAAGAAGTTAGGGAAGGGATCATTTTGGTCCTGAGCCATTGGAGGACTAGCTATTCTTGCCCTTCTTGATGTGGTTCTTGATGGGATGTGCCAGAGGTTCCAACGCACCTAAAACTGTGCATGGTCTTTAATCTTTCTTAACTTCTTGCTTCCTTTTAAACTGCTGTTGGTGAGGAAATGGAGGGTTTGTTAACTGTCTTCGCCTAATTAGGAAATAAGTTAGGTTGGAGAAGGGACTGGCATCCCAATCTAGACAGATATCTTGGGGACAACATACCAAAGAAGTCTGTGGGTTTAATTTAGGGATTCTCAAACTAAAGTGTGTATTAAAATCGCCCATGGATGTACTAAAAATGCCCTATCTCAGGCCCTACTTCATTGATTCTGATTGAGTAGGTGTGGATGGAGAGTGGGTCCTAAGAATCTAATTTAACACGAAAAGACCCTAGGGATTCTGATGGAGGTGGTCTGCTAACACACTTTCAGAAACACGAATTTAGATGCTGATAGCAAATTTGAACATGAGACTCAGAACTGAGTGAATTGTTATGAGTTTGTGCGTTGGGTCCTGTATTCCCATAATTTTGTGTCTAATTTCCTAAATTTGACTAGCACAGCAGAAACGGTGGTAAAAATAAGATAGTGAGATTCTGGTAGGGTCCTAAATGAAGACCCTGGTAGGGTCTTCCGTTCAGTCGGCTTGGATATCAGTAAAAAAGCTTTTATTTTACCTCATGGGATGAATGGGAAGAGGGGGGTGAGTAGATTTTCTGAAGTTGTGGTTTTTCACATTTTATGTCCAGAAATTTGCTGTTCTGGAAATGGACTTGTAGAGGGAACTAATTTCTGTGAAGCTTATCAGAAAATAACTGATGGGAAAAGCTAATGTTTTCAGAGATGATCCCCAGAATACGTATTTTCACCCCCTCCCTTAGCAGTGCTTTCCAGCGGCTTTCCCTGCTCAGTTTTTCTCATAGCTCATCTTAAAAAGCCTCTATTGCTGTTCTTATTTTAGAACAACTTTTTAGTTTAGGATTACTACTAAAACAAAACAAAAAAACAGATTTATTTCACAGAGATAGAGGTTTTCCAGGCATCTTGGTTGGCTCTTGTTTTTATTCTTTAAAGGCCAACTTAGGAAATACTAGTATACCTTTGTATATTTTGCCTCATTGGCTTTTCTAGTTGACTGAAAATCATCATGCATCTTGCTCTCTTTACCCTCTGGAGTCTGTCCATCCCAAATAAAAACCTGGGAGGGTGCAGATGGCAGGATTAAGAGCAATTTGATTTTGTTCCATAAAATGCTTCCCTTCCTTTCAGTGTAGAGAGTTTATCTTTGGCAGTGAAAATGCACCAGGGAAAATTAGTGAGGTGGAACTTACTACAAGGGTACTTCAAAAAGTTCCTGGAAAAGTGGAATTAAAACATTGTATGAATTTTGCCATGAACTTTTTGAAGACCCCTCATATGTATATTTTAGGGATGTCATTTTCCCAGCTATTTAGGTTGTCATGTTAGAAAGTAGAAACCGGGCGGCCCGGTGGCACACTCGGTAGAGTGCGGCGCTTGGGAGTGCGGCGGGGCTCCCGCGGAGGGTTCGGATCCCATATAGAGACCGGTCCGCTCACTGGTTGAGTGCGGTGCTGGCGCGACACTGAGGGTTGCGATCCCGTTGCCGGTCGCAGTGCGGGCGCAACACTGAGGGTTGCCATCCCGTTACCGGTCACGAAAAAAGACAAAAAGGAAAAAAAAAAAAAGAAAGTAGAAACCACTCCTTAAAAGACAACTAGCTCTTTTTCCCTCCTTTCACAGGCTATCTTTGTAAAGTCAAGTTCATTCAGAGATTGTCCCAACCTTCTTTTATGAATGTTAATTTCTGATTAATAGGAACTTGAAGTTTTAAAGGAAGGAATGCTCAATTCTAAACCTAACAAACCTCTAGAAGGTTTTAATCATTTCAGAATGGAGGTGTGCTTCTAGGTATGGTATTTGAGCAATTGAACATCAGGGATTAACTCTGAATTTGGAACTTTTGGACTGTAAAGATGGTGAAAATGGTAAAACAATTTTAATGTCTCTTTATATACCATTTATAATGACATATAATACCAAACTGTTTTTAGTATTTTGCTTTCAACCACAAAGGAGGGGGAAGGACCCCAATATAACGGTTACCTCTTAATTTTGATAGTTATATTCACTGGGGTCAGTGTAGAGAATATATAACGTACATGATGTTTTAAGAGTTAAAGAGTAGATACACTAGGATTTTAAAATGGTCTTTTTTAGAGCAGCTTGATCTGTACAAAGAAAACTGAATTGTAAGTGAAGTTTCCTTGATTCATTTCCTCCTCTGCTGCCCAAATCATTGGCTGCCTTTTTGCTTCACCACAGGAGATGAGAGCCCCTCTATCTGTTGATTTTCCTCTGTCGTAGGGTTCAGAGTTAATCAGATAAAGGCTTTGAGCACTTGTGAAGAGAGACAGGATAGAGTATTAGAAAGTAGCAAAGGGAAAAATATTTTTCTTGTTTTTTTTTTTTTCCTTTTTGTCTTTTTTCGTGACCGGCAACGGATCGCAACCCTCAGTGTCGCGCCCGTACCGGACTGGGACCGGCAACGGGATCGCAACCCTCGGTGCTGCGCCTGCACCTCGCTCAGCCAGTGAGCAGCCGGTCTGTATGTGGGATCCAAACCCTCGGCGGGAGCGCTGCCGCGCTTCCCAAGCAGCGCACTGTAGCAGTGTGCCACCGCGCCGGCCCGATATTTTTCTTGTTTTATCATCCAGTAGAATTCCTAGCTTTTGCGATTTGTCATAAACCTCTCAATTTTAAGGAATTGGAGTGACTCGTGTGTCTCGTTGGAATGCTCTAGTCTATTTTGCCTTTTGCCTTTCTTCGATACTGGTTCCACCTCTACTCACTGAATGACCTTGGGCAAATCACAATTGTGCCATGCCAGTTTCCTCATCTGGAAAGGGGGCTTATAGTAGTACTTACCTCCACGATCGTTGGGAGATAACATATGTATGTGTTTAGAACAGTGCCTGGTAAGGAGCTGTGTAAGTATTAGCTATTATTCAGTAAACGCTTGAGTGTGTTATGTGCCAGTCAGTGTGCTATTGTTGAGGATAAAGAGTCAGATAAAGACATTGGCCTTGACTTTGGGCTAGTGAGATTAGTCTTTCCCTTCTACACTTTTCTCATAAGAAAGAAAAGATAATTATAATTATCATCATTACAGTGCATCTATTTGTTTATATCGGATGATGGATGAAAAGAACTAGGAAGACCTGAACTTGGTCTTTTAGAAATGTGTAATGTAATCTAGACAACATAAATAACCCAGAGGTGTAATGTATATGCACAAAGGTGTAACATATAAAGCAGAGGGGAAAAGCAGAAAGGTAAGGTGTGGCTAGATTATAGGCATTTTATGTAAGTTATAATAATTCTTAGATTTTTATAGCTCTTTGCCTTTGGTTAGCTGACAGCTGTGTTTGTCCAACATTCTTTCTCCTCTTTTTGTCACACTTAGTATAAACCGGTTGCCAGAATTTAAAAGAAAGGGTGGCGCACTAGTGCACTTATTTAGAATACACATTTTTCTTGAACTTCTTAGAAATTTGTATGGATAATTAAGTGGCAGAGCGACATTTGGAGAAAGGATGAAAAGTTGGGAAAGAGATTCTTTACAGGCTGATTTCATACAGCTGCCATCTTTATGGGGCTGAGGAGTAGGGAGAATCTGGGGTTATGGGGTGAAGCACAGCGACAGTGGCGCTGAGACTGGGAAAGTGTGCTTTTTTTTTTTTTTTTTTTTTTTTTTTTTTTTTTTTTTTCACCGCCGCGCCTCCCAAGCGGCACACTTATCCAGTGCGCCACCGGGCCGGCCCGGAAAGTGTGCTTTCTAGTAGTTTGCCATCCTCTGTTAGGAAGAGCTGCCTGTGCATTTCAAAATAAGCTTAGTAGAGACAGTGCTATAGTTGTGGTTCTTATTACCTTAGATTAACAAAACCCCATTTTCCCAAGTGTATCTAAAACTTTCACTTTCTCAGTTTTCTTCCCATATGGAAGTAGCATACAGTGGTCAAAAGCAAGCAAAAGCATTTGAGTCGGGCCTGAGTTCCTATTCTAGTGCATACGCATACTCTTATTAACTGTGTGACTTGCAGCAAATTAACTTAACCTATTTGAGTCTTGGATTCTTCATACATAAAATGGGAAGTGATACACAATGCCACATACCAGTGTTTGCGTTGTGCATATTTGCACATTTATGTGAAATGTCCCAAATAGGCAAGTTTGTGGAGATAG